CGCTTAGCATTTGGGCCACATGAACCATGCAAAATATTTGTACATCTGTTGCTCCTACAAAACTCTTCATTTGCATATTTACACAGGCAAACTGATTTCATTTTCTCATTTACTGGCTTACACACACAATTTGTGCACATACGTTTTCTATAGCTCACCTGTTGATGAGATCTTTGCAAATTTGGCCTAACATCTCAGTATCTTAATGAGTTATGTTTTTTACCTTCCAAAATAGAGAGACAATTATCCATTTTGAAAAACAACTACATCTCGTCTACTCTCAAATACTAGAGGTATATTTAAAACATACAAAAGCATACAAACGCATACTATATTTTCATATGAGATGCCAAATTAAAACATGCAGAGACTTGAGGTAGAGGAACATTAAAAAGGATGAAAACCACATGACTGACATTCTTGCTGGCAACTGGCACGAGCAACTCCAAACAGCCACCTAGATTTGTGTTGGAGGAAGGAATAATTGCCTTAGGATTTATAGGCTGAAAATTTGGCTGCCAACTTTTAGCCCCTAAGTTGCAAATTGTAGCCAACTTAATTCTAAAATAAACTCATCCAGGATTTATATTGATTACACTGCCAGAATGGCACAAATAGTGCACTATAGCTTTGTCTAGATCTTACACGTATAAAAGCAAAATTATTAAACTCCTCAGCTGGTGTAAATTCCCACAGCTCCACTGACTTCAGGGCAGACTTCACTGAAATCAATGGACCTGTGGGAATTTACATCAGCTGAGGATTTACCCCTCAGGATTTCACCAAAGTTTAAACTAATAGCACTTCACAGTCTCTGTTTTGACAACCGCTTTAAGCTTATTTCAGAGTTAGATTGCTTTCTTTTTCTCCATATGAAAATTAATCGGTTTTCAGTTTCAAGATTTGGCACTTTGAGAATTCAGGGTCCGATCCTGCAGTCTTCTACTATTCTTCAAGGGTGACAGTTTCTTATGAGAGAGGACTCCAGGATCAGGCCCTTGTTTTGCATATCTGAAAAAAACAACATGTAGGTCATGTTTTCTAGAAGAGTTGCCCAGTGAAAGTGGATAAATGCAAAGTTGTTAATCCTACAGACTTTATACGTAGCTTGGGGTGCTTTTGCACTAGGGACGATTATAGTAGCATGAAACTTTTGCATCCCAAAAGCAAAGGTCCGTATTTACTACCAGTACACTCTGGCTGCTTTGCACTACTCTAGGGATGCAAAACAGCTGTAAAATTAGCTTACTTGACTGTTAAGCCAGGTGTCCAGTTGCTCTGTACCACTGACATGGCACAAAGCAGCAGGCACATACCACCGAACTTGACACAAAATGCTTTAAGAAGTGTTTAAACACTCCAAATGGAGACTGCAAAGTATTCATATAAAACAGTATAAGAACATTAATATTTCAGTGCCAGGAGTTGAAGTTTCTTGTCACAAACCACAAATGAGGCACTCACTAGTTTGCAACCAGAAATTCTAACTCCCGGTACAAAATGATCAGCAATTCAAATTTCTTATTCTCAGTTCTGAAAACGAGAAGGAAATAATGGGAACCACTTCTTGGGTATTAAAGATTGTACAGCATATTGGTCGGGACACACAAGTGAATAAAACACAGACAACAAGGATGGATAGTAAGTGGCAGGCTTCAAGTGTGGGGGTTGGAAGGGGCACAATCCACTCACCCCCTCACATACCAGGCATTTCACTTAGTTCAGTATGGAGCTAAATAGCTGCCTACCAGCTAACCAATAATTCAGAGCTGACTCACTTTAGCCTAACTCCACAACTCAGCCCATCTCTGAATCTTCTGCCCACCCTACACACACTTGAGGGGAAATGAGGGTTACCTCAGTCTCAGAAGACGTAGCGTTCCTCTCTCCATATACACAAAAATGACAACTAGTTATATCCTGGGCCTTTTACTCAGATTTACCTCCGGGTACTACCTTTAACCTTTATCTGTATTAGACCGAAGACACAAGAGGTGACAAACTAAATACTCCTTTATCACTTCCTAACCTTAAATATTTGTATTCTCACTCTCTTTCACCTAAAACTGGTCTTCCATGATGCTGCAAGGAAAGGGACCCTTCCATCCTTGTCATCCTGACAATTTGGCCCTAATGGAAAAAACACCTCCCCAATACAGAAGATACAATCAGTTAGAGCCACAGTATCTAGGAAACGGAGATCAACAGTATCTCAACAATAGGGAGGGAGAGGGGGCAGCAGTAGCCTCAAGATGGCCCCAAGACTTATGGGGCATCTTTACACTGAAATGAGGGTGCCTGTAAGAGCTAATTGGCTCCCTCTATTCCCCCATGAGTCCCACTGGCCAATGAGAAGCAGAGAACCCCTTCTCTCCTTAAGGGGCACTCCGACCTTCATTCTAAGGCACCTGGGAGAGTGGGGACTAAGCTCCTGCATGTATGAGCACAAGCACTTCCTCTCCTGTGCCTCTCTGGAACCAGGGGTTGGCCATCCCCAAGCTGGTCCAACCAAACCTCCTCCAAGTGAGAAGTGGCACTGTAATACCAACTGCCCTACTGATTTCATCTGAAGTATGCGTTTCCTTTATCAATCAATGCAACATTGCTATCTGTTCAAGAGCTTTCAGTAAAATGGAGCCAACCACCAGCTGGTGTAAACCGTCATAACTCCATTGAAGTCAGTGGATCTCTCATTTAACTGAAGAAAATTATTCTCAGGAATCCAGCTACATTAAAATGATTTAAGACTATTGTGTACAGAAGCATGAATTGTTTTAAATTTACATATAAGAATTTAATATATCCAGTGACTTGTATGTACATGTGAATAATATTTAAAAAGTCACTGTGCTCACTCTAGGCCCTACACATGTATGCAAATTGTGCCTATATGTTATCATCACATTTTAGTTCCAATCTGTCCTTACTTCAGTATGCCTGAATAACTCTTATTAATGTTAAGTGAAGTTATGCAAGCAAATTGAGGGAAAATGTGTGTGAAGATTTTATTTTAATTGGTGCTTCTAAATAAGAATTATATTTGCTACTATATTAGTCAAGTTTTAAGCCTGTGTGAATTCAGACCTTATATGACTTTACAGTGTCTCTGTAATATACTTTGAAAGTATAGGGAGGGTTTATTTTGAGAACTATTGTGATGAAACCTCTGCCATAACTACTACGTAAGGAGTAACACACAATATGGTGTGCAATTGCTGTGCGTGTCGGTGTACTGTATGCTGTGGGTGAACACCGACACACAGGCTGCCAAGACTTGCTATCATCTCATTATCTCCCAACAGTCCCTCTCTGTGAAGTGTTATTCCACTTGGAAGGCTGCAAGACTGACTATTTGTGAGAGTAGAAAATAGTTAGCAAAGCTAAGTAGTTTCAAGATGTGCACTGCAGTTGTTGGTCCATAATTGCAAAGATTGGAACCTTAGTTTCTCCCATTCTAAAAATACTTCTCACATTTATAGGAAGATGTCAAGGCGCTTTACCAACATTTAGGCCTTATGACATCCTTATGAGGTAGGTGTGCCTATTTCCACAGAAATAGTGTAGGGCCTGATCCTGTAGCATTTATTCACATGAGTAATCCCACTGAACCTAATTTTTGGAATGGTTCGCTCCGTCTCTACCAGTGGCAAGGAGGTTGCAGGCACCGTGCACTGCTGCAAACCTCATCCAGGTAGACTTTGCCTCTGGTGATCCTGTGCCAAGGTCTGTACTAGAAGACACTGCTATAGAGCCTGAGCGAATCTGGTCCATAGTGCATTAATGATAGCACGTAGAACAGTATTAAAGCAAACGTAAAACAAACCCGCAGCTATTATACACTTTATAATCAATGGGCAATCAGAAAAACAGAAGAGGGAAGGAGAAAAGACATAAACTGATCAGAACATTGGGTGGTACTCTTTTTTCCTTAATCATTATCTTCAAATGAACAAGCCATAGGATTTTCTTTAACTGTTTTCCCAGCAGGACATTTCAGAGCCAAGACATTTCTTAGGTTCATCAGCTTCTAAGAATATGTGCCTATTGCCATCCAAAATAATCTGAAGTTTTTCAAGATAAAACAACACCATTTCTGCTCAAACCTTCAGAAATTCAGACTATAAGCAATCAAATTTGTGTCTGATTACTGATCCTGTTATCTTGCTACCCAGGGCTTCTAGAGATCCACAAATCCAAAAGGGCCATGGGCTGTGATTTTGTCAGCTCTCATAAGAGAATAAGGTTGGGCCTGGCCAGCACTGTGAGAGGAGACCTCAAAGGCCAAAAACCAGTGTATGGACCACATATCATGTGTGCACAGGGCAGCAGTCACTCTTTCACCGGCTCTTTGGTTGAAGTGGGGGTTAAAAATGATGGTACTCATTTTATTTCAAATTGAATGGGGTTAGTCTTCTTGATGCAGCAGAACACAACTATTCCCAGATCATTGTACTCATTAAAAATGCATTCCCTTGACTATGGAATTAAGGGCCAGATGCTCCCATATATGGGGAAAAAACTCCTAGGGAGAAGAAGACCCTGTGAATTTCAGTGTGCAGCATTTCCTCTTTATTGTTCCATCAGCGAAAGGGGCTTGGACTGTCACCACAGAGCCAGGTGAGAGTTGGGCTCTCTAAAGACTTGGGCAAGAGGCAACAATTAAGCTTTGAAGGGAGGACATATATGGGGACTCCCTGGGAGTGGAGTATTGTGCAACTCGGCTGGCTCTTTCTCCTTTCCGTGCTACCAGCTGGTTGAGGTCCCCTCTGCTTCTGTAAGTTGAGAGAAGAATCTGGCCTTAAGAGTCAGCCTGTTGTGCATAGGAGATCTGTCATTCAAGTCTCTCATTACAGAGGAGAATCCATACACTTTTGTAATAAAAAAGGGTTAAGCAGAACAAAATCATAAGACTCTTTGGAGTTATTACTTATGAAGAGAACATAAAGGTACTTTTTATAACTGTTTAGTGAACTGGAAACAGAAGAAATAAAGGTACTTACCATCAACCCTTGTTCACCTGGTTTTCCTGGCTCTCCCTTAAAAACAAATTGGATTTATATCAATAATGTTATTTACATTCACTCCCTACTTAGTAACATTAAAATGTCTATTAACTACATTATACCAAAATACTTACTGAAGCACCTGACAGCTGCAGGGACATATATGTTACTATGATCACTGGCTACTAAAATGGCAGATAAAAATCCTTCCTGGTAGCATGATGGGCTTCAAAGAGTTGCTTGTGGTTTTTCAATCTTTCAATGGGATAATTCTCTTAATTCAAGAGCTCTTAAGTACCAAATATCCTGACTTCCAGTCCCCTGTTCTAATGAACAGACAACATTCCTTCCCAGCAAACTGCAGTTTTAAAGGAAAACGAAGTAATGTTGTTTTGCATATGTATCCTAAGACCTGCTTTTTGTGCATTCCAAAGTAATTTACAACTACATATTACATTCTCTGTTAGTAGGCTTATAAATGACTTTGCAAAGTAGGTGTTGTTGTGGTCATGTTGGTTGCAGAATATTAGAAAGACAAGGTGGATGAGGGAATATGTTTTATTGGACCAACTTCTGTTGGTGAAAGAGACAAGCTTTTGATCTTAGCTCGGTGTAAGCTTGAAAGCTTGTCTCTCTCACCAAAAGAAGTTGGTCCAATAAAACATATTCTCTCACCCACCTTCTCTCTTTGCAAATTAGTGCTTTGGCACATTACATAAACTGCTAAAAAAATCCTAGGCTTGATATTTTCAAAGCCACACTGCTAGTCTCTAAGGTGCCACAAGTCCTCCTTTTCTTTTTGCGGATACAGACTAACACGGCTGCTACTCTGAAAACTGCTCCTATTAATTTCTGTGAGAATTGTGTGAATAAATCCTATAGCTGGCTTTGAAAATCTCAGCATAGAACTTTTCCAAATTCTCTCTCACACTGAGTAGGTCAAAAGAAGAATTACTGTTCTGCTGACTGATAGGAACCTTTTCATTTGCTCTTCAGTGGTAAAGAAGGCACTAGCTATTTTGTGTCACAAAACTGATGGGTTATATGTTGCAACAATCCTATTAGATGGAAAGGAAGCAAAGCAGAGCCAGAGTTGCTTCAAACTTTCTCAGAGCATGCTACTGGCACATGATTTAAATGATGCTAGGGTTTCAGAAGCACATTGTTGTATTCTGGGACATAAGTACTGAGAAAGCCCCAGAATAGCTGCAGTGAGACCTAATTTCTCACTCCATTCCCTTCTGAGGATGCATGCGGTACTGAAACTTAGGTGTTGGTGCAACTGTCCAATACATCCATTTCAGGTGGGAAGATAAGATAAGGCAGCCTCACCATTGGCCAGTTTTCTTTTAAATACGTGGAGTTGAAGAGGAGGGCAGAGTGCTGATCTTATTAATGGTTGCTCTAGTATGGACTTTGCTGATGATGGAGGGGTCTGTGTCCTCTAGCCGTGGAATTCTGCAGTGTCTCTTCTCTTACACTCTCTAATCACTGCTTTGTTGGATGTGTCAGTCCAGTCCTGCAAGGTGCTGATTCTGCAAAGTCCCACGGACTTCACTGGGAAACCCACTTAGGCTTTTGAAAAATCCCACTAGGTGCCTATCTGCATCTTTTTAGAAACCTGAATACATTTGAAAATTTGGCCCTCAGGACCCTAAATAAAATATAAGAAAACACTGATGTTATATACACCTGAACTCTAGCTAAATGGTTTATTTACACGGAATGCTAGAAAAGGAAATGGAATAGTTCTCAGACATCCTAGCTTTCTCTGACATTGCCACAATGTCACTAAATTGTTCCATCTTTGTTGATCGCTTTGCCATTGGATAGGAAGCAATTTGTGCATCTGGTAAATAGTTGCTGCAGGTAACTATTCTTAAATGTTATTTTTTTTGTGCATGTCAACTTAGTGTTTGCTAAAAGTGCTATATTGACTGCCCAAGGAACTGAAGGCCTTTATCCACAGGTATAGAGGAGTATAAGTGTAAGGCTTCATAGACTGTCCCATTAAAGTGCCTTCACTATGGCTTGCAAGGACTGTAAAGGTAAAAGGGCAAATCAGTCCCTGTGCCTACTTATTCTCATTCTGCTCCCTTTGCTTGAGAAGCAAACATCAAGTCACATTATAATCAGTCTTGCTCTCCATCATTGTTGACCTTCCCCAACCTCTTGTGCATTATCCAGAAAAAAATTATACTGTTGGAGTCAGACAGCTGATTCTGATCTCACTTACACAACTGTAATGCAGGAGTAACTCCACTATGTGACTGGAGTTGTACCAGGGTAAGGGATATCAGAATGAGGTCCAAAGTTTTTTTTCCCCGACAATGCAGGGATGGTGCATCACTGGCAGAAGTGAGTGGGTGGCTGAGATGAACCTTAAAGAATGGAAAGTAGCAGATGTGTACAACCTTTCACAGTGATCTTCTAATCAAAGGTTTTTCAACCAAGGTTTTTTGGACTCAGACTTCTAAATGCCAGGTCTTGTTGGGTTTTCCAAAGAAGTTTTAACATAATAATAGTTCAGCTCTGTTATGTTCTATAATTTTATACAGTTAATATAATGTAGGATGAGGCACTCAGAATGAGACCAGAACATGATCTTGGATGTGTTTTCTTTTTGGTTTTACCTTTTACCCAAACAAGGACTCTTTTGGAAAGGTTTATGTCTTTCTGCCCTGGCCCCACATATGAAATCATGAATTTTCCTTCACAATGTTGATTTTATGTCCCATTGGACTATGAAAATGGAGGGTGGGGGATCCCCTTAAAATAAACCTAAAGAGTTTAGTACGTCACAAAAATGTAAAATCATGAGCATTTCCAAGACTTGTTAAAAATAGGGCCAAGTGACTTTTGTATTTATGTTTTAATTTAAAAAAGTTTTGGCAGGCTTCCAACAACAAAATGCCAAAAAGCTAAAGGCCTGATTCTTCCTCCCAAACAAATGATGACTGTGAGTAGTGCCATTGAAATGTATGGGACTTTCTGAGGAGCAGTTTACCGCTCGTCTTGAGTATGGATGGCAGAATCAGGCTCTGGGAATAGCGTATAGAGTTTAACAATCTATTTCTTCTAACTTCATTTTTTTAAAATATTAATCATCATTAGGGAACCAGAAGTCTAATCAAACACACAATAACCTAGGTTCAAGTTTAGCTTTAAGTGAGAAGCTGTGTGGAAACATTCTCTTCTTATGTGCAAAGAGGCTCCCCAGCACTGCAATAATTAGAATATCAGGGAACAATTCAGAAAGGTCAGGAACCGGGTGAAACAATTTTCAGGACTGGGAGTCATGAGATCTGGGTGCTGTTCCTAGCCTGGCTACTTACTGACTGTGTTGCCATAAGTATGTCATATAACCTGCCTATGGCTCAGCTTTCGTATTGATAAAATGTGAATAATAATATTTCCTACCCCACAGGAGTGTTTCTGAGTCTAAATTTATTCATGCTTGTAAAACACTCATATACCACAGTGATGCCTCTATATCCTCTAGGCTAACTCACCGGTACTCCAGGCATCCCTCGGGGGCCATCTTTGCCAGTGTCTCCTGGAGGACCTCTGGGTCCTGGTGGCCCTGGAGGACCAGGGGGTCCAGCTTGTCCTTGGTCACCCTGAACAGGAGTCGACAAAATCATAATCAGAAGTTTGTCTTCAGATGTACAAAGCCCCACAAAAAGGCACCAATTTACCTACAATGAGTTCCTGACGGGTTGAAATAGCTGCTATGAGCAGGATGCTTACTTAGATCATGGATGGAGATGGTCTTTAAACTGCTGCTTCATTTCTTATGGCAGAGATTGCACTTTGCGTCAGAAGATTAGTGTGCTGTACCTGTACGGTGCAACCAGCCACGACAGTCACAAAGAGTGAGGCTCAAGTTCCGAACTGCGTGTCCAATAGCAGGATTTACACTGCTGTTTAGTATAGCCTTGCAAAACTCTACTCATTCAGTTTCCCAAAGCAAGTAATTGATTTGGAAGAGCAGGTATAATTTTCACTTTGTGATCATCATCATGATCATAGATTCACAGCAAAGACTGAGTGAGTCGGTTTGTCTGAGAGTTGTTATATTTTCAAAGTAACTTTGCAAAGCTCAACAATCGAGCACTGATGGAGTTCTAAAATGATGGTGAAAAATAATTGCCTTGCTGAAAAGTTGCATATTATATTTTATCTTTTATGGTTTCGATACATTTATTTTGAAATAACTTAAATATACAAATTGTCAAAACGCATTTCTTTCCTTTAAAAAAATTAGCATTTTTATTCAGTTTCCAGAAGACAAACTACTATAAGAAGCCCCATTGGCTGAATTTTAACTATGAACCTTTTAGCAAAGCTTTGTGTAGTTTCCACTGCTATTTTACACAAACACGTTTCACGAAAAATGGTTTGGCTCCAAGTCATTTTTCAGATTAATTACCCACTAAAAGAAGGCTAATGACAAAAAGTACAGTATAGAGTAATATTCAAATGTAAAGAAGAACCAGACTCCAGTGAGATTAAGCACTACCTTAATGAGGCGGCGTTTAATGAGCTGCTGATCAGCAGAGAGAAACCCATGATTGATTTTAGGAAACACCATCTGATCAGGCAGGTGAGGTCAAAGGTTGAAGTTCAGAGATGAGAGAGTTGAAGAATAGACATCAGAAGGCCCCAAGAAAGAAATAAAGATATATACATTAGATTTATAATAGCTAATATAGTATAAACTGGTGCTTGTGTCTGATAAAATCTGTGCCTTTTCTTTTAAAGGAGTTAACAGGATTGACAGGATACAAGTTAGAAGCTTTGTTACTTATGGATTGATTGAAGGTAACATAACACAAGTTTTCTTCCCAGCAATTCTTCTAGGTGTCTCTGAGTTCATCAACATTTTATAATCCCTGGGGTATAAAATCAGCACATTTCTCATATGGTAGTCTTTCAGCAAAGATTCCATAGACAAAGCACCAATTCAATTTTCAGTCAGATTTTCCAACCAGCATATTGCGCCATGAAGAATGGTGCCATTTTAATGATATCTGAAGTCCAGGCATACCTTGATTGTTTCCTGTTTCATTTACACATTTTTCAAAGTGCATCTGCAAGGGTACAGCTTAAACTACTGGTACACGACACATAAACAGAAATAGATCATTGAATCTGCTGATGCTCATTAGGTGCCCGATGTACAGTACTTTGACATTTTCCATACTCCTGTATGTCTTAATAAAGCACAATTATAACAAAACTTAATCTAAAAACCAAGAGTATGTGTGATGTGGACGTTAGGGTAGGTACTAACACACACAGAGCTGGATTCTAATCTCACTCACACTGTAGCTCAGGAGTAATTCCACTGGAATAAGTGGAGTTACAGCATGAAACCCATGTGTCGTGTAATCAGAATTAGGCCCATTGTAAGATGGCCCATAGTAAGATGGGCTAATTGGTATCCCATGGCAAAATTAACTATTCATGCGCACTCTTATGCTGATAGAAAGACCTGACTGAACTGGTACATGTCAGCCACAAACCTTGACGGTGAGGATCTGATTACTGTGCAGAGCAGCAACTGTGGGGAAGCCTGGCAGACCCTAGGGACACAACATAACATGGGACCAAAACAACACGACACAAAACATCACACAGACAATTTACTAATGGACAAACAGAACAAACACTGTGTTTAGTACGTCCCACTGCCTATCAACAGCTCTGTCTGTCACATGGGAAACAGAACTAGGTGTAAGCAATGTATCAGAGATTTGACTGATTATTTTGCATAAAGAATATAAAGGAATTTTAAAGAGAAAAGCCACCTAGCAGTATCAAATATTATTATGGATAATTATGAACATTTGACATCTGTTAGGCTACAGTTGGCTGAGGGGGTAAGCCATTTTCAATCAACATATGTTATAGTACTTTTAGAGAGGTATGTGTACAAAGCTCTGCCTGGAGATCACTGTGGAACCTGCAAGACTGAGAGCAGATCCTGAAATGACTTTGAATTATTATGCCTTTAATACTCTGTTCAACATATGACATTCAGCACATACACTGACAGTATATACACAATAATACACATTGAACAATGGTCTCCTGCTAGATCAGGAGTAGTCAGATGGCTGAGTTCAACATTCTTGACATATACAGCAGTATCTCCACCTTCAGGACAAAATTCTCCTCTCAGATCCCACATGGTGGATCTAGCCTCTCATATTCTACTCTCCCTGCATGTGCAGGACTCCCATCGTATTGAAGGAGGACAAGACAAATACCAGAGTTGGAACCAGCTGAGAGGATGAGAGAGGTGAATTTTGCACCCAATTTATACTTTTCCAGTATTGCACTGGAGGGTGGGAGTTAGACCTGTTAACAAAGGAAAAAGGCCTCTCTCTCTTCTACAGTTGATAGGTATATTTTAAACAAAAACCTCTTCTAGCCTGTAGCACAGTATATTATCTAAAGCATCTCAGGGCACTTTTAGCCTGACAGAGGCTGTAAGCCACAGCAGGATTTTTTAACCATTATGAATAGCTGAATACCACTTCTGTTTCACACCCCGCCCCCTTTTGATCACAGTGATTTAAGATTTTTCTTTACAAATAAAGTCATAGGAATTTTTCTAATGCATGTGGCATTTCTCCAATGGTACATTTAAATCACATCTTAAGAATTGGGGTGTGACCCTCCTCTCACTTTGGTTTCATACCAAGGTACCTCTACTGACTTCAGTGGAGTTACTCCTGATTATAGCAAGCAAGCAGAGACTGACCCTAGTACTGTACTGCAACAGTACAAAGCAAACTTTATTGGCCTTGCTACTTTCTGCTACGTTGAGGGTATATAATTTTTGAAAGAACAGCATCATCCTCTTTTTATGTTTTTTAAACATGCTAAAACCATCTAAACACACACTGCTACCAAACACAGGAATGATGCATAATTTGGAAAACAGATGTATTTAATTTGTGTTTGTCTTATTATGGAATATAAGTTTAAAAAGTTATTAGATGGTAACATGCCAGAATCTTTACATCTGTGATTCATTAGCCCTACTATACACACGGTCCATTCCTTTCCTTGACAAAACTACAATCCTTATGTAAACAGGTACAAACAAAAAGCCAACAAAAGAGCTAAAACCTGAAGAGCAATGATAAATATTAAATCTCACGTATTAGAAAAAGGATAAATTGAAAATCTTCTAACGGCTTCATTTTTACTCTGTAGGCTCTACAATTACAACATGATAATGCACACATTTTCATAGTTAGCTCTGAATATAACAGGCTTGAAATTTGGCAATTTAAAAAATATTAATGGAACCTCAGACCAGTGTTGATTTATTCCCTTCTGAATACGAACCAGACCTGTGGATGAAATAGAAAAGGAGATTTTGCTCTGAAAAGGTGCCATTCTGCTCAACTCAAGAGCTCTGAAAGGCTCAGGCTGGTGAAAATTTTGTACAGCCCTTTAAAAAAGGTTCATCTGGAGCTCTGCACATACCACTCTGGCATACTCAACCCCTCTGAAGCTACATCAGCAAAATAAGGAGTAGTTATCAAGATTGCAGCTATTTGTGTGTACAAACACATGAGGGCATGAGAGAAACTCCCTTTTTAATATGAGTTTAGGACCAGATTCTGATTTGTTCTCATGAAAATGTGCAGTCGTAGGGAAAGGCACAGATGCTTAAAAACTAGACCTTTCACTCAGGGTAGCACAGAGATTGCTCCCTTCCTACTCCCATAGGGACACAAGGTGCTCCAAAAGGGGGTAGAAGGGAGTGAGGATAATGGTTCATCTCCCACAAAGTGTCTTCTGGAGCTAGCCAACCCTGCAAAGATGTTAGGTAGAGCCCCATGAAAGTGAGCAGAAATGGGTACATAGCGTCTGCATGCCTGGGAACTCTGGGAGGCATTCCACCTTCTGGGGCTCAGGGAAGATGGTGTTAGTGCACAATGAGTCTCTCAAAATTAAAGGACATAAAAGATCTACCTTTTCCACAGAATGAATTCTCCTCCTTCTTTCATCCTTCTGCTCTACATATAACCTTCAAGAGTTCCTAGATCTTTTTGATTTTTTTTCTAACTAGAGCTGTTATCAGGGATGGATTCAAAGTTGTTCAGTGATGGATTATTTTGTTTCAGTTTTAAAACACACATACAAAGAGCACTCATCCCACGCTCTGCGTTCCCCTTCCAATAATTAGGACACCACAATAAGCAACAACTACACTGGACCACTAAGGTTCATCGACAATCACAGTCTGAATTCATTTCCATTCCAGAACTCCAGTAGTTCACAACATCCAAATATGCACACTGTCACACCCCCTCATCCCAACCCCTCCACAATAGCCTAAGCAAAACGCGGAGCTTTGGAGCATGCCCACAGCCATGGAATTGCACAATGCATAGGGCCCTGCTTACCAATTTGTAAACATACATCATGGCTGTACAGTCCCATTTGACACCTATGGAGGAAACTGAAGAATGTTAGAACTTTCTGATGCTTTTCCTCAGAATTTTCACTCCAATGTAGTAACTGTTCCTCTTATATCCCTCATACTGTAGTCTAACTTCTTCAGTGGAGGAATTCCCACCAGCAGTCCCAGAATACACTCTGGTGGGAATACAATACACTCTGCTCAGTGTGGCAGTTTACATAAGGTCACAACTTCTTTAAGATATTTTAAAAAACCCATCATAATTTTACTGCTGTATTATAAATGTAGTAACATTATGAAGTCATTATTACGAGCTTTATATAATGCTGATGCATATACTGTATGTTGACTGTTGGATTTGCTTATTATGGTAAATGTGCCAAAGTCTTCATCAGTGAGACAAGGTGGGTGAGGTAATATCTTTTACTGGACCAACTTTTGCTGGTGAAAGAGACAAGCTTTCAAGCTTACACAGAGCTCTTCTTCAGGTGACCTGAAGTAAGCTTGAAAGCTTGCCTCTCTCACCAACAGAAGTTGGTCCAATAAAAGATATTACCTCACCCACCTGGTCTTGCTGCTATCCTGGGACCAAACACAGCTACAACACTGTATACAAAGTCTTGCTTAGGCTTTTCCTTCTGACCTGTCAATAAACCCATGCTGCACAAGCTTACATGTTCCTGTGAAGACATGGTAAATGAGACAGGAATTACCACCTGCTGCTCACTTGCACTTCCTAAGATTACAACCAGCTGCTGCTATTTCACATCAAATCACACAGGCTTCAGGCCAGAGTGATTCTGACACTCTTTATGGCTGACTTCCCTCCCCCACCCACCCCCTCAAATTCTAATTAATCCCTCAGACCAAGTGCCAGGCCTGCAGCTAATTATTGTACCTGCCCTGGGGAATACAGTGTCCTGTATCACTCTGTCCTGTGCCACAGACTCTCGGCAGGAGCTCTTTTATACAATCTCTTTCATCACAACTGCTGCTTTCTCCATCACCAGAATTCCGCTAACTTACACAATGCCCTGCAATGAATGACAAGGATGGGGGGGGGGTTTCCCATACACAATAATACAACACAGAGCTTTAATTTTAATGTATTATGCCACTGTTAAGAGTTCATATCACCTCAATAG